TTCTACTTTAATGCCAAGAAAAGTAATAATATTGTACTTTTTGCACAGTGATCTGCTGCCTATCTGGGAGATCGGTTTAACGCCAGTGCCACTTCGGTTTTTGGGTACTGTCTTGGTTTTCACATCACCAGTGAACAGCCTTTGTAGACTTAAGATTAAAGGCAACCCTCATCAGTCCGCAAATGGACTGGAGTTTCGGTTGTAGTCAGGTAGCGCGAATCGGCAGGAGTTTCCTTGCTAGCGCACATGTTCTTATTTATATTTAAATGCCTACTCTAACGCTTCCCGTAAGACAGAAAATTGGGACATTTTACATGCGATATCACCATCCCAACCTAACCCTTACCTTAACACTTACCCGAACCCTAACCATAAACCTAACCCTTACCCTAACCCATACCCTTACCCTAACACTAACCATAACCCTTACCCTAACCCTAACACTAGCCCTATCCATAAACCTAACCCTTAACCTAACCCTAACAGAAATTAATTGTGTAGGCATTTAAATATAAATAAGAACATATGTGCGCTACCAAGGAAACTCCTGCCCGGAAATCATTAAACCGGACGGCACTCGAAAGAGCGGAGCCACCCGAATTCAGAGGCTGAAAAACATGTTTCTTCTACCGTTTGCCAGTGGCGCTTTTATCACACCTTCGTGCTCGAATTATTAATTTAAAGGGGTTCGAGAAATGGCTCCTCGTCTAAATCGTACATAACCTGGTATCACCGTTAGTTGGCACGTGGTCCGGTCTAGGACTGTTGTACTCCACAGTTAGTTGCAGCTGCGCCGTGTGGCCTTGTGCCGCATGTTTCTGAATTTCAGATGGTACAGAGGGAAAGCAATCATTGTGTTATAATCAGGGCCTAAAGATTTGTATCAATACCTATTGTTAACCAGTATAGCCTGGGTATTTTCGTTCGAGTCAGTTATTTTCAGCTGAAGACACCCCGGTCACGGTTATTGTCTGTTTTAGCACGGAAAAGCGGTTGGAATCAGTCAGACAGGAAACCGTTGCATTGACAGAATCTTTGAGAGTTTTAGCCTTGCGGTCCTTCAAAAACCGTGTATTTTCAGCTGTATATGGTGTTAACACTAGCCGAGCCATAAACGCTATGTTCGGAAACCTTATTATCTTGGAAGCCTAACACTGAGCTGAGTCGGTAGTTTCGGGGAAAAAAATGCAGTCGATCTGATTTTGAACGTTGGCATCATTGAGTTAGTTGCTTCCCGAGGTGCCGAAAGCAGAAGTTTGCTGTGATCAGGCGATTCAACGCAGTAAAATAGCTAAGCTTTCACCCATTTGTGTAATGGTGAAGTAATCAGCTCTTGGCTGCATAAGACCTCGTTCTGACATTCTGTTCCCCTCAACAACTGCAGTCCACTCCTGGGGACACGTCTGGTAGCAGTCTGATCTTTGTCGTAAAATACATTCTTCTGTGTATCTTCAGCCTTCACTACCAACGTCGTATAAATGAAAATGTTGATAATGACGCCTTTGAGGAGGCTTAATTGCAAGCTTGAGGGATGCATGCTCCCAGCCCTTAGCGAAGTTTTGGCCTTATCACTCAGAGCGGCTGCGATGCCATGTCAAATAAGGCCGCCATAGACATCTCTGTTGTAGCATTGGAATACTTTATCGGCCTCTCACGCCTTCATATAGTATCAATCATTATCTCGCAAGCGCACCTCAGAGACGCTGACAGTGTCCATAGTGTATCACATCACCTCTTGCGTGATTAGATTCTGCCTTGCCGGTGCATAAAAAAGTCTCATGTTCCAACACGCGCTATGCCAAGTGTTACGAATTATTTCACCTATTTTGCAAAAGATTTCTGTTTATAGAGAAAACAAGCCTAAGGATTACTGTCCTCTAAGTTCCAGTCGAAATGAAAATGCAAGCGATGCTTGATTTTGTTTAAACGTCCCTCTACGTCGGACAAAAAGTTTAGACCTGGTCCCTTGCGTTGGTTCCAAAGACAGTTTCGCTAACACTTCACGAGATACGCGTCCCCCTTTCCGGTCTCGAAATGGCTATTCGACGTCCGATGGCTAGATATACTTGCTTACTTGATCCGATTAGCTCCTGTTGTTGGATGAATCGGCTTCAC